GCTCACGAGTCAATGATTACAGAAAAGACTGAGGGAGAATCTTATGCACCCATCAACCATCATAATATCCCAATCTTTCTTCCCTTCTTTCTCGAATTCTCCTCTCTGTTTATAAGCTCCCGTGCCTGCCTGAATCCTCTCCTCCTGCCTCGCCCCTTGCTACTCTTCATTTATTCTCGATTCCTTGAAAAGAGAGAATCTTATACGCCCATCATTCATGACTACAGATTACAGAAAAGACACCTCATCGACGCTTCTTTTATTTTTTTTTACTAGTATTAAATTCATCAATTAATTAACTCCGGTGGATAATTGAAGATGCTGTCTGAAATTAATCGCAATGAGCACCTGAAGGTTCTGCTTTCTTTAGGTACCAATCGGATTAATTAATTTTTAAATTTAATTAGTTTTCTTGGTTAATTTCTTGACTTTTTTTTTTTCCTTTTTTATTTTAGTACATGATTAAATTATGGAAGGAGAGCCATGAATACTCTCTGGCGCACGAAAGTGAGAGTGGCAGCTATGAAGATGGAGATGAAACGCCTGAAGAATTCTCACAAGAAAGAAAGAGCGGAGCTGAGAGAGATTGATATAGTCATCCATGGGAGGTTGAAATTTTATTTATTTATTTATTTTTATTTTTATTTTTTTGAACATAGGAGAATTTTGGGGGAAGGGGGATTAGAACCAAGGTCATAGCCTTGGAATATACACACCCTATCCACTGCATCAAGTGCTGCGGGTGTGTGGTTGAAATTTTATTTGAATTAAGAAATGGCCCACAATCGAATGAAAGTTTTCGCATGGCCCACTTTTTTTGCAAACAATTGATTGTTTAAGATTGTCAAAAGGCACCATTTCTCCGGTTATTCTTTATGTTGCTACCCTCCGAACTTTCAATTTTGTCAACTCAAAGGTAACCAAGGAAGAAATGAAGCAGTCCTACCATCTCAATATAATTGTTTTTATAAATTTAAATTTATCGTACTTAAATTTTTATTTTTTTTATTTTTTATAGATAAATTATTCTTCAATTCTTAATTTGAAATAACTTACTTAAAATATATGATATTAAAAAATGAAAATTAAACTTTTAAAAAAGTGAAAACACACAAAATAACCAAGATTTTGCCCATCACTGATTGACTTAACGACCACTCCCTAAAAGAGACGGTGTTTAGGACATCAAACTCTTAGATTTAAATCCAAACACTTACTCTGCCATCCTCACCCCAAAGTTTCCCCAGTTCAAAAAAAAAAAAAAAAACCCCAAGTTTTGCTCTCTCTAGCAGCAGAGATTGATAAACTTAAACATGATCTCAATCAAGAAAGTAAACAATTCTCTTTACAGCAAAGAAAACAGACTATAACAGTGTACTAATTACCAAGAAAAGAAAAGAAACGAAAACAATTGTAGCGTTCTACTTCAAACATCAAGCAAATATATACAACAATTGCTGGAATTTTTTTTTTCCTAGCAAACATAGGGGAACCTTGAAATATATTAACAACACAGATCGAATAAACATAAAAAAACAAGCATCACCTATGAATTTTACAAGGGGGGCTAACAAAGTTTGAACAAAAGGAATTAGTGCTCTATACTCTACTTCTGTTGAGCTTCGTGCTACAGCTTGTTGTTTGGTTGCTTTCCAAGACACTGGATTGGAGCCAAGATACATCACATAGCTAGTTGTAAAGATTAAAGTATCCTTATCACCTGCCCAATCAGCATCAGAAAAACCATGAAGAGACAAAGATGTTTGTGGACGAAGCACAAGTCCATGAAATTTTGTACCATTAAGATATCGAAGAACACGTTTCACTGCCTGCCAGTGCAGATCAGTAAGGCTACGCATGAATTGAGATAGCCGGTTGATAGCAAAGCATAAATTTGGCTAAGTTAGAGATAAATATTGGAGGGAACCAACAATTTTTTTATATGCAGTTGAGTCTGTGAGTGAGTGACCAGATATTTGCTGAAGAGATGTGGTAGAGGAGAGGGGCATGCTTACTGGTTTAGCATTTTCCATGCTTGCTTGTTGCAAAATGTCTTGAATATACCGTCTCTCGGAAAGAAATAAGCCAGCACTAGTTTCAATAGCTTCCACTCCTAGAAAGAAATCCAATTCAACAAGATTTTTCACTGAAAATTTGGAGCTCATGGTAGTTATCAAACGGTCAATAGTTGTAGGATTGCTTCCAATGAAGAGGATATCATCTACATGCACCAAGACATAAAGCCAATCAATAATCTGTCGATGAATAAAAAGGGAGTAATCTGACCTTGAATTGGTGAGACCGTGAGCAAGCAGAAACTGTTTCAATTCTCAAAACCACATTCTTGGGGCTTGTTTAAGCCCATAGAGGGATTTTTGTATCCGACAAACATGGTGGGGAAAATTAGGATCAATAAACCCAGCTGGTTGTTGCATAAACAATTGTTCATCAACTTTCCGGTGAAGGAATGCATTGTTGATATCTAATTGATGAATTTTCCAACCCCTACTTACGGGAATGGATAGAATGGCTCGTATTGTTGTCGGTTTTATAACTAGACTAAAAGTTTGAGTGTAATATGTCCCTGGTTGTTGATGGACCCTTTAGCCACAAGCCTCGCTTTATAACGTTCAACTTGTCCATCTTTGCCTCTTTTCAACTTGAAAACCCATTTACAACCAATAACATTTTGGTTAGGTGCAAGAGGAACTAGATCCCATGTACCTTGACTTACCAAACGTTGAATTCCTCAAACATAGCCTGCCTCCACCGATGATCTTTCAGGGCTTGACTCACACACGTCGGCTCAACTTCAGAACAAGGGGTTTCGGCAAGGTAGAGTTGCTTTGGTTTAAAAATCTGATTTCTAGAACAAGTGACCATGGGATGGGTTTGGGCAGGTGGTTGGATCGGGTGAAAGGGAGACGATGAGGTAGAGGCTGATATTTGGGTGTCAAGACTAGAGGGTGGTGAGTCATTGGAAGAAGATTCAGATGGGGAGTTACTTGTACGAGTAGGGGAGGGTATTGGAGAATTGGTTGGTAAGGTAGTAGGTGAGGGTGACGATGAGTTAGTGATGGGTGAGTTGGGTGAGTCAAGTGGAGTTTGAGAAAGAGAAGGAGAACGTGAGGGTGAAATGGATTGGCTTGATAGGGAGGTGGTTTTGGAGGGTACCGGGATTGTAGTGGGAAAAAGACCAAGGGGATGAGTTGAGGAAGTTGCCGCATGGGGATATGATTCTTGCCAAGTGGACAAAGGGGAGGACCCCAAGGGGAAACGTGGCTCAATGGAGATTGGCATGTTAGGTGAGCAGGTTTCAGAGGAGAAAAGATTGGAACATAAAAATGACTTTTGAAAATTAAAAATGGATGTGGTGTCAGACTTATGAGAATTAAATGGAAATTTTTTTTCATTAAATAGGACGTGCCTAGAATAAAAGATTTTATTTGTTTGAAAATCAAAACATTTATATCCTAAATTTTCTATAGAATACCCAAGAAATAAGCATTGAAGAGAGCGAAATTGAACCTTGTTTTGTGTATATGGTCGAAGCCAAGGATAACATGCACAACCAAAAATTTGAAGTTTTAAGTAATTGGCTTCTTATGAAATAATTTTTCAAGTGGAGATTTAAAAGAGAGAGCAGAGGAGGGCAACCGATTAATTAAGTAGATTATTGTGAGAAAAGCATGAGACCAAAAACGAGGTGGCAAAGAAGCTTGGTGAAACAAAGTGAGACTAGTTTCAATGATATGTCGATTTCAACGCTCACTTATACCATTAAGTTCAAGAGTATAAGGAGGTGTAGTGAAATGAGAGATTCCATTCTCAGAAAGGAATCTTCGTAATCCAATATATTCACCTCCTCCATCAAAATAAAATTTCTTGATTTTTGTACCAAATTGGTTTTCAACTAAAGCTTTAAATTAGGAAAAATAAGGGAAACGTCTAAGTTTTGTTTTAAAGGGAAGAGCCATACATAACGAGTAAAGAGATCGATCAATAAAACAAAATAGTTATAACTATCAATAGATAAAACTACAGCTAGACCCTAAACATTGGAATAAATAATTTCTAATGGCTCTTGACTCTTGACAGAGGAATGACCAAAAGACAGCTTGTGACTCTTTGAACAAAGGCAAGAATCACAAGAAAAATGCTCTACCTTCAATGATGTCGGTATGCTATTTTCACTAAAAATTTTATTTTGAACCTTTGAGGATAGATGTCCTAACCGGGCATGTCAATCTATTAAAGAGGTACGTTCACCTACCAGAGCACTTGGTTGAGATTTGGATTGGTCCATGAAGGAAACTCATACACTCCATTTTTGTTTTGTCCATGAAGCAATATCGCCCCCATGGTGCGATCCTTCACAAAAAAATGAGTAGCGTGAAATTCAACAATAACATTGGCTAACTTGCATAATTGAGAGACAGAAATTAAATTTCTAGAAGCATCATCTACACATAAAACATTATCTAAAGGAAGAGATGTATTCTGTGTGGAAATTGTAGTTTGTCCCACGTGTGTGATTTGCAATCCTGAGCCATCACTAATTAAGAGTTTATCAAGACCAATGTACTTGGAATGCAGAACTAGGTTCGCCAAGTCGGAAGTTACGTGACTATTTGCACCTGAGTCAATAAGCCAATTATTGGCAGAGTTATGAGATGTAGCTATAAAAGTTGCCATAGGTGAGTTAGGCAATATACGGAAGTGGGAACAATTTTGTGCCGTGTGGCCTGACTTGTTACACAATTGACATGCCAAGGAAGTATGATTGCTAAGCTTGTTTATGAAGTTTTGGCGAGCCATGGTCTCATTTGAGAGGAGGCTCTAATACCACTAACAGAGTTTGAACAAAAGGAATCAAGAATAGCTTCATTTCATTCATGTGTATGCAACACTTATATACAGGCGCACAAGCAGAAGTCTAGTAACCCTATTACAAAAGGAAACATAATATATTATACACTAAATCAAAGATTGACTTGCTCATGAAGAGATTGAGGAGATCTCTTTAGATGTTTTCCTTAATAGGGGCCACCGTTAATTGCCACCACCGGGTACGTAAGTGCAATTACATGGCCCAGAAGGCTGGCCAGGAACTCTTGCTTTCGAGACCAGTCTGCTACAACCCCCATTCAAGATTTGGTTGGCAATTATCAAGATGATCACAAGCACCACTTTACCTGTCATCCTGATGGTTCTTCTCTCAGTTTTCATTTCTGTCAACTCCACTGAAACCTTGGTGCCTGGCTATATATATGGAGCTGGAAGAAGTTTAAATCAACTCAAATTTGTCTGCAAGGCTAGACTCGCGATGCTGGTTTGAGATGATCAATTAACTTACATTCGCGCGGCAATTTAGCCCATCTTGGTTCTGACAGCTAGAGACTGGCACAAAGTCGGGCACGATTAGTGTCACGTAATCTTTTTTTAAAACACACAAATTATATTTCTTTTAACTGTTAATAACAATTCATAAATATAATCATTAATCAATAGAACAATTAATATTTATTATAAATGTTTTTAATTTATGCTTTAGAGATTAGGAGTACAAGCTAAAAACACAATAAATATGTTTTTATTATAAATTTATATTAAAAATATAAATGTTAATATTTAATTTATTAATT